TTCTGGAGCAGTGATAATGCGACTGGCTTGATAGTTTTTGATTTCTTTGTTGTGAAGCGTTATTTGTTTACTCGGCATTGTTGTGTTCCACAACAATGCCGATTTTGTTTATAGTTGACATTGTTGATGACGTCATTTTTTGACGATGACTAATCACAAATTTTTATAGTAGATTTCTACTACTACTCTATAAGCAATAAGCTGAAGTAATTTTGAACAAATTATAATACTACACAACTGGGTTCCGGGGTCCTTTCCTGGGGGTAAAGCACGGCTGGGGTGTGATACTGACCACTCAACCCTATCTAGTGCTGAGGTCAAGAATAAGTAGGAGCTATAGCTCCCCCCCCCCAAGCGCACACATGGCGTATAGTTAGACAGATTTACTTTTTTATACAAAAGCCCATGCAGATCATGTCACATTGTAACCTGCTCATAACAATTTGTCAGTTGTCTCCAAACAATTGAAATGTAAGAATGCCTTTTTCACATATGCAAGAAATGATCATTGTTAAATACTACCTGGAATCTCATTCTTACATAAATTGCTAGAATGAGATCATGGATAATTTCCTGATTCTCATGTGCTAAAGAAATAGATGATATCTCAAATGATAAACTGCTTCTATGACACCAGACGCATGCATGGCAGTAACCATACTGGTTAGACGATAATCATCAAACTCTGTTACTCTATGAAAGTCACTGAATTTTTTTTCTGATTTGAAGGTAGTTTAATTTTTGACAAAGAACAAGTGACAAGAATGGGTTGTGCGACTTTCCAATCAACCTGTAAATGAATCATTGTGCTTCATTCAATACACATGCACATAAAAACACACTCAATTTTTCTCTCCTAGTGTTCAAACACATACATCATGTTAATACAGGTTCAGATAGAAAATGAAATACTTTATTGTACATTCATCAATGTTACGTTGGCCAGGCCTTTTGCAAACTAACAGAATACTGTATTAAGATTCACTGTGGCCTTCATATTTTTCTTGCTACATTATAACCTCAATTTTACTTATTATATTCGGTAATAATTATTATTTCTTACTTTAAAACACTCCAAGTTCAGAGATAAAACAGTAAATAAAATCAATGTTGCCAAAAATGTTCACGACGTATTATATGCCACACCCAACGTACATCCCAACTACGAGTCTGTATTCTGATACGAAAAACGGTACTCCTTCCTTTGTGCAACTTATTAAACAATGGACCATATATTTTCAGCTAATGTTAATGTCTTCCAAAGGAAGGTATTAAAAATAAACCTGCTGTGTTCAATCCCGTCATAATGTGATAAATCAATGTATTAATGATACAGAACAGCCCTTCATACATTAAATTATCGAACGAGTGAAACAGCTCCATGTGAGAAAAAACCAAAGTTGATACTGCTCCTACAAACACAAAACGACCGAATGTAATGTCTTTTAAAAATGAAAATTATTACACAGACAGCAATTTACAAAAACTTACCTGAACTTATTCAGCTTTTAACGTCAGACTACTCCCTGTACAGACAAACAATTCGACTCAGATACGATTCCAATATGGCGACAGCTACGATACCTACGACTCACTATCGCCACAATTGATCCCAACCGCCGCGACAGCGAAGTACGTTCTCAAATTCATATTAAATCTTTGAAGTTGGATAGATTACAGAAGAGGAAACGGTAATCGGAAATCTGAAATTGGTTGCGGTATCGTGAAACCAAGATTAAGTGCAGTTGATGTGGCAGTAATGCAATTGTGGAGATAGAAATCAATATATGTGAAGAAAATATGTCTACATGCAAGTGGGAACTGAGGTTCTTTGTCTGCAGACTATTTCCAGCGCGTTTCATACATTCATACAAATGTGCAAATTTTTTGCCCTCATCCAGTTTTACGCTACATATTACACAAATAAAACAAAATTAAGATCACAAATTCAAATAACTTCAATGAGCTAATAGTACCTAACTCTTATTTTATTTCAGAGCAATGGTTCCGGTTGGAAAACTTTGCCTGTTGACATGTAAATTATGTTCTTCCGAAACAATGGTAACCACGTACAATACTACAAGGCAATACAACTCAGATGACACTCCGATGCAAATGTCAACAGTAAATCAAACCTCAAATGTCATTCATTAAGAATATATTAGGGCAGGAACTCGCACGTAATTACTGTATGCGTATTTTTTTCTGATACAAGAGAGAAAGGTGATAACAATGATAAAAAAATATCGACGGTTTACATGATACATGGAATCACATAAACTTAATTTAACCTGTTGTTAAAAGACTACTGAAGCAAGAGAAGTGCCAAATATCTCACTAAAGACTGATTTTGCTAAAAGAAAATGATTAGGTAATATGTAATAAATAGTTAATGGCATCTTTTAATAAAATGCCGTGAAATTTCAATAAATTATCCTCACTGAAAACTTTACCATTCGCGAGTCGATAAGAAAGGGTGCTGTGCCTTCAGGGCTGGATTTTATTAGATCTATTACATTCGGGATGTGCAGGTGTCGGACATGGACTGAACAGCAGCATCCCTGAGGTTTCCGTGTATCCTTAGATATTTCAAACGAATGGCAAGGAAGTTTCTTAAAACAGGCTATGATCGCTTTCTTCTGAATACTTACTACTGCTCACTATGCATGATCATCTTTCCATCAATTCCAACACAACAATAAATCTGTGATTGGACACTCACCAAGCAATATACAGTAAAACCTCTCTAAGTTGGACACTTGGGGTTCCATGAAAATGTGTCCAAGTTATAGAGGTGGCCAAGATAGAAAAATCAGATTATGGTCTAATGACAATATAGTCTATTTACTTACATACACTAACTGCTGTAGGCTTACTTGAATTAAGAATTAATGACAACAGTATTAATAATAATCTTTTGAAGCCCACTCCCATGCATTGCACATTACACCCCAGTCTCAATAACATTTTCGAAAGTTGATTCCACCAATTTTCGCTTCCCCATCGCAAAAAGAAAAATTCCATTTCTGTTAACACAGTCTGAACTCAAATGTAAGTCCAGTACTGATGGAGTTAAAACTGTGTCTTTTGCAATACTGTAGTCCAGTTAAGAGTTCAGCAAAAGAACAGTTAAACACTTGCAATGCATTCCAGTGATGGGTTCAATGTTATAAGATAATCCTCCAGAGAGGAGGCATTAATCAGTCAGAAATTCAAAATAACAAAATATGTAACTGAAAAAGTTTCCCTGAAAAGCTTCGAAGTTATGTGCATGAACCTGTCCAACTTACAACAAAAGGGGTGTTCAAGTTCCAGGAAAAAGGGATGTCCAAGATATAGTGTATTGTGGACATGTAAAATTATAGGATATTCGCCGGTTCCAATTAAAAGTGTCCAATATAAAGCGGTGTCCAACTTGAGGGGTTTTACTGTATGACTATCCAGTTCTACTAAGCATGGACATCTGACAGCGTAGAATTCCTCCTAGATGAAGTCTGGGTTATTTATCCTTCCTATAAGTCTTTATGATTCTCTAATAGATGGCAGCAGTTCCAATTTCTGCAAGTCCGCGACGAGAAGATGTATCTTGACAAGGACAAATACGAAACGTAATGCTGTAAGCTAGTATATACATCATGTATTTCTTCCTATTGGTTGGGAAGTTTAATTCTAAGTTCAGGATTCCAAGCATGCACTGGCAACAGGAATCGATATTCATTATCGATGCGGCAGTAATGGCGATGTAGTGTTACTTTGCTGGAGTTAATTTAGAAACAGGACCAAAGTCTGTTAAAGATATAGTGCTCTGGTATCACAGGCAATTAAAAATGGGATACAGTTATTACGATACACCAGACGGAGAAGATTGTTTTAAAAAGCTGTTATATACAGCAAGGATTGCTGCTGTATCTGGGGTAATTGTTTCTGTGGTCGATGTACGTTTATTTTCACGTACCCAAGGTTTTTACCCAACTGTTGCAAGATTTGCGCATTTTACCTTTCCATTTATTGGAATGGCAGCAGCGTTTACAGCTACAACTTGCATTGCTACTTCCGCGAGACATAAAGATGACAAGCTAAATTACTTTCTTGGAGGTTGTGTAGCAGGAGGAGTGTTTGGTGCTTGGAGGAAGAGCATTTTGGCCGGCTTTACTGGTTCTTTGATTTTGGGTGCTTTGGCTGTTGCGAAGAAAGTGTCGCTAGAGGAAGGCTGGCAGTTTATACCAAAAGGTGCTCCCTTGCGAAAGTATGGGAATGTTCGTATGGCACGTCATGATTGGACCCTTACTGCACCTCGCCCAAAAACTTGGAAAGAATCAGAAGATTAAGGATTTGTGTTAAACTTATTAGTTTGAGAATGATGATTAGTGCTGCTGTTAATGTTTGTATATTTATCCTTGAAGTAGAATGTATTCGATAGCATTGTGCACAATAACATTTTGAGTTCTGTGTGCCAATGTTACTTAATTTTTAAAGAATTATGTTCCTAGGAACAGTTGATTATCACAAGGTTTGTAAGGATTTCTGGGATTGCCTACATTGTTAATAATTCAGATGATAAAGGCTATTTTAGAATAAAAATAATTGCTGTGAGTAGATGTTGCACATATGAAGTATAAATTATTTCATATTACTTGAACTGACTTAAGGTAACATCCCTTCCTTTTAATATGAGTTTAATGTCCTTAATCTCTGTCAATGAGTAATTCTGACAATGGTTTCACCTCTTCAAGTCATCTTATTTCCTCCTTGAATTGTTCATAAGCAAGATCTGCCACATTAGTTGAAATTAGCAAAATACTTTTATCTTTGCTAGAATGCAGTCAAGGCAGAACTCTGAAATGGAAGAGGACACAGTATCTGTCCATCCAGTTTACACCCCTGACATTTGGAGTAGTTGGAAGAGTTTTGTGGTATCCCCAAAAGAATGTATTTCTCCTTCCACACTCTACCCATGAAATATTATAGCAAATAAGGACTCTGCAAATGTTTATTATATATGATATTCATACAATTTTACTTCTTTTCAACTCGGTATACTACCTACAGTGATTTAAATAAATAGTGAGAATAGCTGAGAAAATCTGCATAAGTTTCAGTCCTTAAGTTAATACATGCAACACAGTATTCTGTACAAGTAAACAACTTTTAAACTATAAATATTTTCAAGTTGCAAAATAGTTAAATTACAAATTAATTGTATGTGCTGACACTGACAGTTATGAAAATGAGTACTGATGCCAGTGTCTGGCTAATAAATAGGATTCTGAGGTTGTTAATTCTGTTTCATACCACATGACCATTTGCCTCAGTACTCTTGCACTGGGAGCAAGACTGTCTCAGCAGAACTGATTAGAAAACTGAAGAATTCAGAGAGAAACCTGTGCCAGTGCCATTTTATCCTCCACAAATCCCACTGGACTGATCCAGGCTATCACAGCGAGAAGCCACTGACAAAGCCTCAGCTATGACAATATAGCATCACAAGACTCTCAACTTACAAATTATAAATGTATAGGAGAGAGACTGTCAAACTTCCTTACACATGTGCGCCTGGCAAGGGTAAATGCAATCCATTTGTTTGTTTGCAACAGCAGGAGAGAGTTCTGACTGGAAGAAGGGACATAGTCACCTGCATGCCTCACAGGTTTTGCAAAAGCCTTAATCTGTAAACCAATGTGCTCTCACTTGGGCATACTACCAATCCATGTAAAATCAGAACAATGCTAAAAGAATAAGATATATATATATATATATATATGGGGATAGAACTTTGGACTTATGAACAGGCTGTCTTGTCACAACACCACAAACTATCTACTAGGAGATTCCGAACTGACAAACAGGTAGTTTCATTATGACACCAACACTTCTAGCAGAAACCAATGGTTCCAAAGACCAGATCAGTTGTTGGTAACATAGGAATAATAATAATAATAAAAACATGATGGTAATTTAATAATGTTTTAATAATTACCATATTCATATTTATTATACACTTTCATTTAGAGTATTTTTTTTTCACCTGACTGAGGGACTTCTTTTACATAAAAATCAACATATGTAAGACAATGCCCTGTGTGGTCACAACCATGAACATAAACTGACAGTACATAAAAAGCACAGAAAAGAGATAATCTAAAAGCACTGAAGGCAAACATTATTTAGATGATTATAAGTACATTAAACATTCGGCACCACACACACATTCAAAATAATAGGAGTTTATAGATTTTACTACTCTAAGGAAGAGGAGGGCATATATGTTTGAAAGATATGGAAATGACATCATTAAAATGTAACAGAAGAACATAAACTGTTATCCTAGTACAGAGGTTCCCAAACTTCACAGCTTCATAAAACTAGTACTTGAAAAAACAGACTATATAAACATCAAGGTCAAATAATTGTTTCCCATTTTATTCTTCCAGACCAATTCATCACACATAAAAATATATATATAGTGTTTCATAAATCATTTCTCTTCTGAAAGAAAGGAAGCCAAAGTAACTGCATCTCAGCTACGTAATTCAGAGAGACTACAAAAGATAACACCTCTTTTTGTGAATCTTAAAAAGTTGGAAAACAAAAAAGCACCAATACACATTTTCCAATCAGAATCATTCTGCATATCCCAAAAGTGTATCAACACACTGGCCTAGCAATATAATTTACTGAAACTTCTATCATAGGCTTATTTATTTAACAGACGATAACATAAGTAAGACTTGAGGTTCTCACAGCGGTGAATATGAAGATTTCTGTCTTCTGGGTTTAACATAAGTGAAGGTACATTTAGTATTTGAACCTAGCTGCAAATTGTCATTCCACTGGAGGCCACATCACTGTAAATTTTTTGTTTCAAATCCTCACTGACAGTGGCAGCACTATCACCTTTAAATGGGTGATACTGACATTTTGTACTGTACATCTCTGGAAAATGTGAAAATTGTCCCAGCCCATATTTGTGAGAACTGATAAGTAATATGATTTTCTGTGGCTAAAATAATATTAGGATCTTCTTAGGCTACTAACAGAGATAAAACAAAAGTTTATAAGCAATACCCTGCCTAAAATTATATAAAAATAACATTGCATTTCTTAAACTTTAAAAATAATAACTTCTTAAACATTAACTGCCCCTACTGCATTTCTATGGTCCCCCTTGTAACACCACAGCTGCCCCATTTAATACACAGTTTCTAATGCATTTAGGTTTAAGTCACTGCTTTAAGGGATATCTAGTAAAATGGTTTAGCAATGCAATGTCTACAACAATAGTCGTAATAATATAGCATTCACAATGACCTACTACATCACATCTGGAACACAGGGCAAAAGGTTTTGTACACAGTCCCACAGGAAAGCAAGCCATAACTTCATTACAAGACTTTCATAGCTGATTTATTAACAATATTCATTATACTTCCCTATTTACACAGTCCTGCAAGTCTGCTGAAGTAGGGTAGACATGAATTTTAAATGCATCATGTAACAAACTAACAGGTCTTCACCATATACTGCAGATACTGAACATCAGAATTCATACATATACAACACACACACCTTGATACTGGTCAGATGTGTTAACATACAGCTAACCTGCTAAATGCACAGGATGAACTTAGGGAAGAAAGAACAGTGACAGTGTACAAAATGGGAATATATAGAAATAAAATCTAAGGCTATATCATAAAAAAAGTAATACAAATAAAATGACTGCTTTGAGCTGCAGCTTGTGTGGTTGTACAGCAAAGTGGAAAATGATTCCAAAAAATGTAAAGTCCTTTAGTAACTCATTTCAACTTTTACTAACTAGGTCATTATAATCTTCCTTGACCAGTTTAACATTCATTTAGCTGACTGAGAAATTCTATTATGAACTATGATGGGGTATCTTACCGAAGCCTATTCTGAGCTTCTCATATTCATAACATCTTCCTTTCTATGATCCATTTTAATATCACATGAGCTGAACTAGCAGAGTCTGGCTATGAATTGGACTGAGGTTCAATTCCCAGCAACAGGAGCTGAAATTTTCTTTTTATAACCACTTGAAGTATTCTGAGACACCCTGTCTCCTTTTCAGTAGGAACTGGGAACTCCTGTCCTAAGAGTAAAGCAGCTACAGCACAAAGTCTCATCTCATCTCCCCCTACACTCCTTCATAGTATGGTGCTTAGGCACAAGGGCAACCTTTATCCATTCATGTGTATGGCTTACATTATCCCCATGTTTTCTGACCAAAATTTTGCAGGCTGTCATCTCTCTCATGTGTGCTCCATTTCCTGCCATCCCATCTTTGATCTTATCTCCTTAACAACATGAGATGACCACCATAAATTACTGAATACATAATGGAGTTTCCTACATTCTTAATGTTTCTCAGCACCCTATTTATAATCATTACAACTGTAAGTCCAAAGTCCTCTCTGCCTCAAAAGAACTGCTTGGAGGTAATGAAACTCCCCATCATATCATGATCCCTTTGACATGTAGTCACCTTCTTGCATGCTTTAGGCACTAATGCCTGTTGCACCTACAGCTCTTCTTCCCATCTTCTTTTACTCATTTCTTCCTACAGCTACCTTCTCATTAATATGAGAAATGTCTCTTTCTTTCTTTATCTGTTCTCCTATATTTTGCAAAATTTATAATTAATCTCATTTCACTTAATGTACAGTCATTTGTAGTAATGTTTCCATTCTATCTAATGCATGAAATCATAAAATTACAATTTACCTTGAAGTTATCACTGATTTGTAATGGTAACAAATTCAGCTCACATTTAGGAGGTACCTGATTCAAATTTAGGCTTAGAGACTAAGGTTTTTCACAGTTTTCCTCATTTTATTCAGGCAAGTGCTGGGCAGTACCTTAAAATAGTCCACAACCACTTCCACATTCACCTTAATTCAATGCTAGCAATAATTTTGTTGTATAACCCTGTACTTGTACTACGCAGCCAGTGTTCGCACTGGAAATCTTTCACTTACTCAGAGAACTGAAAGGGGGGGGGGGGCTTCCCATTGCACATATGTTAGAAGACCTACATCACATCAAAGGGGAAACTTGCAGGACATACAGCTTCCTATTATATCTTTGAAAATAGTTACAATTTTAATTACAACAAAGAAAACCCACAACACACTATAGTTATAATATGGAATGTTATACACTCAGTACCATAAACCATCAATGACCAGCAACTAATAAACTAAATTACAAATAAATATGAAGTTATATCATTTAAACTATCTTTCAATGGATTTGCCTGTCACTGCTTATTTCGTACATAGATTAGCATAACATTTTAAAAAATTAATCAAACATTTACATATGAATGTCTGTGACTACATGTGAAAATCTTTCAAGCTGTGTGCCTGTTTTATAGACATACATTTTTCATATTTATTATAAATAAATAACATGCCTTCAAAATTTCCATAAATTTAGTGGGCATTTTAAAGGAGGTGTAATTATTTACTTATAATACACAAGTTTTTCATATGTGTAAAAAAAACAGTTACACATCCTTCAAATCATCTGTTAATTTAAAGACATATATTTTAAAATTACAAGACAAATACAATTACATTTTCACAGATCAGACAGCTTTTTTGACACAATTTTATAGAAGTATAATAAGAGCATTTGCTCCTTTAAATACATGTTATATATCCCCTGATTTAAATACAATTTGTGCTTGCAATGAGTACAGTGTTTTTCAAAGAAATGCTGGTACCACTGATAAAATCAAAGCCAACCTTAGTTAACTTGAAAGTGAATATTCACACCAGTACCCTATTTGTAAATTTATTAAATATATGTCTTACTTTCCCAGCTAAGAAGTCCACCACTTGGCACTAATATATCACATACAGAATAATACACATCTAAGTAAAAACACAAGTTATAATATTAACCCCTCAGGTTTATCCATCCACCAACCAATCAACCAGTAATACTGTAGCCTGGATCAGTCATTCATTGTACATATCAATATTCTAACACAGCAAAAGGAATGTATGATGAAGACATCAGCCATAGCAATTGCAAACAGAAGGGATTTCATATCTCCTGTAGTCATGTCCATTTCAGCTCTTATACAGGCTAAGCACAAATTAACTTTACAAATTTTAAGACGCAAAAGAATGTACAAATGTACAATCAATTACATAATAAAGGCTGGTCCTTGGGAGATGTGAGGCCTGGGTATATCAATAATTGTGGCATTTAAAATTATAGAGAGAAAACCCATGAGTTCCAGCACCACAAAAAAATATATTTTATATTGCATTCAAAGAAGAATACAACAAAATATTGGCCTATTCTCTGTTGTGATTTTAGTCTGATTTTCTTAAGGAAAAATGCTTGCTTACAAAATCATCATGCTGTCTGTGTATCCCCTCACTTTCAACTTTGAACCAACTGACTTGATTTACACAAAATCCATTAAGAAGGGTATGAAACTGGTGACCATCCACACATTATATATTTCAATTTCCTACAGTCAGAAATTATAAACAGGAGACCCACAAACTTGTGAGGTGGGAATGACACTAGTACTGCTTATGTAGGGCCTGAAATGATCTTTGAGAAATATAAACTTTTGTTTACATAATTCCTTTGTGGAAAGTAAAACAATCTGGAAACTGCATAAAATCCATATTAAGCTTTTGGTTTGATGATAACTAATGAACCACTGGAACTAGGCACATGTCATATGGTACGGTGACAGTTCAAACATATTTACAGATTTTGTATACAATATTATTTATAATGTGACAACTACAAACAGTGACGTGTGAATTTTCTGAGGTTAAGTCTGCTCGTTTATGCACAGAAAATCAAGTACTTAAGCAACACCCCCCCCCCCCAATAATATCTTCAATCACTATTAACAGTAACAGTATAATAACAAAAACAATCTGTAACATTTACAACAGCAAACAATAAAAATAATTTATGACAACCAGGATTTCATCATATGACCATCCACACAAAAATCCAGGACATTAAATGGCATTGCTGAATTATAAATTTATAGTACCAACATACAAAAATTTTTGAAGTACTCACATTTCAGAGAATAGGTCAACACATTCAATGTCTTGTGAAACTGTATCCTTCAATGAGCTGTAGAAATTCATAATGCTTTGTAATTTCTTATTCTCTAAATCTCCCCAATCCTTCTATCAATCAAGCACTGACTAGAATGATAAACACGATAATTCTGAATTACATTTTGTAGTTAATAAATGCATTTTTCATGATACTGAGAACTGTTTTACAATCACATTAAATTATTATAAACTGAGTCACACACAATCACAAGAGTGTATATTTTCCAAAGCCACTTAACAAATAAATGGAACAAGGTATTTTAACATTTTAAAGTGAATTATACAGCCTAAGTCACATAATACTAGCAGTAAAGTCAAAGATATATTCCTAGAAAACTGTATGCTGCCATTACTGACCAATGATGCAGAATCAGCAAGTATTGTCACCTTGAACAGAAGCCCTGTATCAAAAACTTAAAGTTAAAAGCTTTCTTCAACACACACGTTTCTTGGATGTATCTCGAAGCCAGCCTTACTGTAACATAATCAGACATAACTTTTAGTGGCTACAACATTTCAATGTTGCTGCCAGACAAGATTGTGCAGACATCCACAACAATCTTTTCCATCAGGGCTCCAGAAATATATATATATATATAGTTTGTGACTGTAATCTTGAGACTTGTGGGGCGAGGAAGTGGGGTGAAGGAGGAAAGATAGCATCAGCCTTCAACGCTTCGGACTTCCTGCATTACTTGCAAGTGTCAAGATTACAGTCGCGTACTGTATTAAGCAATTCACAAAATTTGCTTACCCCTGGTCATATAACATGCTTCATAGGACACTGTTATACTCACAGCCAGTTTTTTTGCATTCTTTGCACAAAGAGCATAGGGAGAATGCATTATGGGCTGGTTGTGTCAGTCTGTCCAGTTAATTCTACATGAGAACCACTGGATGAATTTGAGTGAAATTTGACGTGGAAGTTAAGTTATTTTGCACAACCTCAAAATTGTGCTTATGAATATCCTAGGAGAGGTGATAACAAAATGACAGATGATAAACGCCATAAAGTAGATAATCTGGTGGCCAATGTAGGAACTATCAAACAAGGCAGATTTAATACTGCTAAATGCATGAGGATAATGTGTGTATTCCAATATGTAATACACCTACCAAGCTTGTTATTAACTATTTCTGAAGCCATCAACATATATAAACATGCTGTAATAGTTTATACAAAGTTGTTCTTTATGTTTATTAGCAGGTGTTGCTTGTATACACACTTATCTTTGACAAATACCCACAAAAATGAGTTCACTGTTGACAGGTCTGGTATGGTAAATACAGAGGTCAGGCCTTGTCCAATTAACTACCTTAGTAATTAACCTTTAAAATACCTGTGACCAGTATACTGGCTGCTGTATGTGAATATATATATATATATATATATATATATATAGCCAATTAATTGGCGGCAAGTTTAGGCATTCCTTGTGAATGTCTGTACATAAATTTAAATACCCACAAAAATAACTTATGAGCCACAGTAGCTTAGTCAGTATAGTGACTGGCTACAGACTGGATGACCAGGGTCCGATCCCCAACAAGGGAAGAGGATTTTTCCTCTAGCCTCTGCGTCCAGTTCTGGGGCCCACCCAGCCTCCTACCCAATGGGTACCAGGATCCTTTCCCAGGGGTAAAGCACGGCTGGGGCGTGATGCTGACAACTCACTCCCATCTAGTGACGAGGTGAAGAATGAGTAGGAGCTATACATCCTCTTCTCTCAAGCACCTAAATGGCATGTGGTGGGACAGCGTCACAAAAATAACACGGCCTTGCTGAGTTATACACTGGCAATTTAAAAGGTTACAGTAAAGTTTAATTAGTCATTTAGCAATTTTGTTTCTTTATAAGAAATATCACTGGAAATCTGTATCTTGATATGCTCTAAAGTTTGTTAATCCTACAAATCAAAGATGATGATCCAAAAGGAAGTTCAATTTGAAAGCAAAATGGTGTGCTCTGGTACCGATACAATGTTGTCAATAAAACTTGGCATGTCTGGCTACATTACAGTGATTAGACATAATAACATATTCTTACAGAATGTAGTGCATTTTATATAACTTAGGAATAAGGATTAACTACAGCAAAGATATAAAATCACTCAGCTTAACAATATCTACATGACTATTTACACAAGTCTGCGTACTGACTATCAATCAACTTATATGCACAAGCTTCTCTCCTTTAGGTTTTCCAACCAGAATTTTGTTCCTCCCATATACTTACTATTTCTGACCATTCTCAAGCTCTTTCACATTCCTGATTCTATTTCACATCAAGAAATGTTACGGGTAGGAATAACCACGCACTTCAATCAACACTGAAAGTACAGAGGGATGCCACCCCTCCTCCTCTTCAGATGGCCTGAAACCAACCTGTCACATTGTCTAAATTACATTTAATGTATATTGCTTGTACAAGAAGCAAGTTTTCTCACATCAAACAATGGTTTCTATTGGTATATAGTATTTGACGTAAGACAGCATCTTAAAACTATAAATATCAAACTGTACAATACACTTACAATTATGAATGTAGTTAATTCAGTCTGCAGATTATAAATGAATTTTTCTTTTAATTTTCTTCACTTGTCAAATTTAATGATGGTTATAACACCACATGCAACTGTTGAGGGGGAGATAAAAACTTAAGATTCTCTACAAATCTTCCTTTTTCATGTTTCTGCCACCCTTTACATTTTATGATGAGATGTTTGGGATGCAGTCATTTACAGGGTAAATAAAGACTGAACCTATTCATATCATAAAGTACACTGTGGTACCTACAACAGCTAAAATTATGACTGTGACATCAGCATGAGTAGTTTGTGATGCATTATGTGTATATGCTAAAAGTAGGTCAATTTTGCATTATACTTCTTTTCATTGTTCATGCCTTTTATTGTTTCAATTTTGACACATAACTGATTACTATAAAATAGTACACTACATTACCAAAGCCCATATGTCAAAAGACCATTAAGAAATTAGTGTTGACACTTTCCTGATATTTACTAAATATAAATACTACTAAAAATTGTATTGTTTCAGTTGAAGGAAACCACCCTAATGTGAGACATGTAGCTAGGTGTGACCTAGCAATACTGAGTCAAACTTTTCAATAAGAAAGCAGCTGACAGTATTTTGGAATGTATTCGATATAACCTGAATAGCATGTTCCTTCGTTAAATGCCGATCTTGATACATTTCATTTAAACATTCTACGAAATATTACAAGAAATTTAGTTTATATTCCTTCATTTTTATAGCAGTATTCAGTGCTTCAGCAATATAATTAAATTTTGGAATTCACACACACATAGTTAAATTATTTCATAACCATGTTTTCTAATATGGACATAATAACAATTATACATGTAGTTATTACATGCAAGGTATTTTATATGAAATCAACAAATAAACATGCAATAATAATAAGACCAAAAGGTTTCTTCAATCAAATAAAAGAATTCCATTTTACTGTACTTTCCCTGCCTAGAATTCATTCCTAAATTAAAGGTATACCATGAAATAAATCTAGACGGCACACGATTATTTCAGTCTTTGGTATGTTCACTCTTGTGATGTATCTATGTAAAACATATATAAGAAGGCACTGTGGACAACTATCACAGATTATACACAGTGGATTCATTGTCTATACCAAGAGTTCGTAACTTCTACACTTGGGGCCTCTCACCCTTTCTTATATATGACAATTCATTAAGATTGGTACTGAATTAAGCCTACAACTGCAAACAGCTTAACAAAACCAGTCATAAGTGACATATTTGACACTACTTATGATTGAGTAGTCTTTCAATATCAGGTTTAATTAACATTTCTGAGATTCACATGCATCCCTCCTACAAATGTTAATGTAAGATACATCCTAGTTCTTGATTTGATGTTCTTCATTAAGCTGAACAGTTGATTACAGTAACAGTTACTGCCAAATACTGACGACATTAAGAGAATGTTTTTTTGACATCAGGTACCTACTTTTCATCACACAGAATTACACAACATTACAAAAAATGTTTGCAGGATGCACAAAGCACAATAATGAGAGGGGAGCAGCATGTGGCCCATAGGTTGAAACCCCTGCTCCACACACTTTAGAGACAAGACACATAGGCCCACTTTAAATGATCCACTGCCAAAATCAGAGTCCTAAATGCATATGAGTTGTTGTATGATGTACAAAGTACATTAACAATGGTCTATTATAAGAAATGATATTACACTTTACCCAATATATCATACATGTACAACTTTTTCCGATACCCTCTTCTCATAATAAATTTTATACATACTAGTATTAAAATGGTAGCTGAAAAAGCATACAATACTACACACAAACTAATGTCAAAAATGTTAAAATTCCACCCAAATCGTTTCTTCTTCCCCTCATTTAAAACAAAAACTGATTCCTCATCAGAATAAACGTTCTCCTTCTCAACACCCACGTAGCTTATGTTCTGCTTGCCATACATATTTTTGAGATGATTCAGGACCTCATCAGTATTCCAACTGTCATCTTTGTTCCTACATGATGGGCATGTGTTGAGAGATGGAAACTGAATTTTTACATGCTCTGGATCCTCTGTTTCATCACCAGACAGGCGATTGTTTGCCTCATTATGGGCTTTCCACAACCACAAGACACTGTCCTGTAGGCTTGATACTTCATGCACTGATCTGGCTGCCATCTCTTGGAAATGTTTGGAACAATCTTCACATCCGAAAAAGTATGTTACATAACCTAACATTGCATTGAGGACCTCTAGGCTGCCCAACTGCTGGTTCTGAATCATTGCATTCACAGTGAGTGTGTGAAACAGAGTCCACAAGCTACATGGATATCCACGGTACTGTGGCTTGCTTCCTTTACATCCAATCCAGTCATGCAATGAAAACACAGACTCTGCACCATTATCAAACATATTTAAATATTCCAATACCTTTTCTCCTCTTATCTCATTTGTATGTTTAAAAATGCTTTTCTTAAAATTATTCAAGACATTCAAAGCTTTACCACTGAATGGAAGGTACTTCACAAGAACGTTCAAGTAATTTTTCAGTGCTGTGAAAGCCTCTCCTGAAATCAGTTTGTATGAAGGAACCTCATGCTTCAAACTGTAAGAGACTGCCCTCTCTAGGTCCACATAGAAAACAACATCCCCCATTTGTTTGACGTCAAGCTTTTTTTTCTTTTCTTCCTCTGCTGCAATTAATGCCAATAAATCAGAAATTTCCCTATTTTGTGGCTCCTCAGGAGATTTCGGTATTTCTTCCTTTGGTACAATTATATGTCTTGATTTCAGAAAACTTTTTATTGATTTGCGAAAAGATTCTCGTGTTTTATCACCAACACTCAGTGGAAATGTCATCATGTTAGACTGAACAACCACCATGCTTGGAAATGTAGACACACCCATAAGTTTAGACAGAGCTTCATTCTGATTAAGCACAGACCTCAACTGAACACTGTCTATTTGATGAAGATCTAATATAACTTCTGTTCCAACAAAGGAATCAATGTCTTCAAATATTAAAATCATAAACTTCACTGATTTAGGAACATACTTCCACACATTCTTAATATCACTGTTTCTGTATGGTGTAATGTTTGGCCAACTGGGCCCCCTACCCTCCATATGCTCTTTTTTTAATATTTCAACAATAGTTGATCGTATCTCTTCAACATTCTTTCCTTTACTCACAGTAACTCCCATATTATCTGGCTTTGAATTAGCTGGAAAGAACTTTAGCATTGGATAATGCATTATTTCATACTCACGACATAGTGGGTTATTGTCATCATTTGCACAATCCACAGCTGCAACAGTTATGACATCTTTCCAGTCTGAAACAAAACGGATGTACCTTTACACGGCTGAGTATGTTATTCAACAATATTCTAGCAACTGTATCTTTCTGTCCCCTTGAGGATACTATGGAAACCAAACTGCAGATGGTGAGGATAATACTAAAGTTAATCTTAGAGAAAACAGATGTAAAAAATTGGATCGAAGAAGACTGGCTCTATATTATGTCCTATGGTGAGGTTTTGCGAATATGGTGCTGAATCTTCTGGTTGCACAGAAGATATAGAACATTAAATAATACAAATGTGAGCACACATAATAAACCGAGAGATGGGGAAAAGTAATCAATTTCAAAATACCATCTTGCTATCTACATTCAAATGATGTGGCATCATCCATCACTGAACTAGGCCCTATTGACATCCATTTTTCAAGTCTTTCTCCTCTAAGGCATTATTTTGAAATAATTTTTGGAACCTATCACAGTTCAACAGATTCCAATTCGGTCAGCTTTACAACTTCTTACACTTATTACACCATCTGCTACAAAATATGGTTCTCAATAAATTGGACACATGGTAGAATACCTGTATCATCACCTTTCACTTCTACAGTACATTTGCTTTTTATTTTGTAGCCAAATGTGTAGACATCACAAATTATTTGGTGCTGAACTGTAACTGAACATATGAAGTTGGAAGTCACCTCAAAATAGCAGGAAAGTTTACTTAGATCAAGCAAAAGCTCAACCAAAGCCATTACGATTGGCGATAATTCTTGTTTCGCAATCCCACTCCGGTAGGCATTTGGTACAAATGAGGTTAAAAACCATATGAAACCACAACTTTAAAATGTTAATGTGGCAAAATTTCTACTGCTACGCATGTCGTGTTAAAAAGTGTGTACTCAAAATAACTTCGATGTCAAACTCAACTTATTGAATACGTGGATTTACCATATATATTTGTTGCTAAAGACTTCCAGATTGGAGCAAATCGATGGCAAAATCCACACCAACTGTTATAAAATTCAATGATCCACGCGTTTTTTGTTCCAAACACACTACTTTTAAAACTTGTTGCATTCAGTACAGTAACTTGATTGTCACTGTTATATAACCCACGGCCTGCTTTCAGGTCATCATATAATCGCCAGTCTGCAGGAGTTAGAGAAAAGGCAGTAATTTGTTCACTTAATGCGTACACCAAGATTACAATTAAAACACTTTCTACGAACTTCGCCATGTTGGCACATCGCTACCACAGAATAAATTGTGCGCAGGAGCATAGGTTAAGACCCTCGCGATGCTACTAATTACTGTTCTCGTCCGGCTCCGTCATCCTTTCACGAGTTCAATACCAGAAAAAATATTAAGTATCAGAATATTACAAAAGTGTTATGAGACATCAAATCCAAATAAGCATCAGCCCCTCTTCCCAGGAATAAAATCAATTCGCAATATGCTACTGCAATGCGGGTGTGGTTTAATACTGTGCATAGTCTGGATAGGCGCTTGCTAACTCATGAAACATTAAATATAGCCTGTTTAAAGAATGAAGGAGACAGAAGTAGGGAATTGTGGCAGAATTCACCGTTAACGTAAACCAGTCCTGCGTATTAGCTAAACGTTTGTTTCATATTTAGTAGCAAGTTGATGCTGATTTAAGCTGGTCATGTCCCCATAAGGTCGCGCATGGATGGGCCGAGGTGTACACCAGGTATTGATTGGGAAGCCTGAGGGGAAGAGACCGCAGAGATGTCAGGCGGGATCTATGAAGATAGGGGTTGAAGGAGACTGGATTTTGTTGGCCCAGGACAGGGTCCGGTGGAGGGCTTTGGTTATTTCGGTGATGAACCATCTAGTTACTTAGTTCATGTTTCCATAAGGCAGACAAGGAGGCACATACAAATCATGCATTTGCTATGGTAGCACGTGTCATGAAGACCGCAGATTTTCTAATTTTCTCATAGATTACAAGTAAAAGAAGTAGGGCTGGATTCTGACACACATTGAAATGTTTTAAAGTGAAATGGACCTTCCATCACTTGTCTAATTCTTACGCTACATTTGTATCAATTGTCACAGCCATTCAATACTTATGAAAATTTTTACTGCATGTGTTCTGTAATGCTAGATGTGGTAAGACATAATTCTGTGCTACACTGAATTCCTTAATAAGTTAGAGGTAGGTAGAAGTAATATATAACTTGGCGTAAAACTTATTTTCACATTGTTTAATACTATATGAGAGCCATTTTTGCAGTTTTCAAAAGAAAAAAATGATTAATGCAAAATTTATAGATTTTTTTACTCACCATCATAAATTGATGCTTTGTCACCACACCATGACACATTCTCATATTGCAAATGAAGGAGATGGCCTCGAAATATGGAGGGTTGTTGAGAGTATATTGAATAAGCAGTTGCGGACAGCTAGTGGTCCTCCATCTTGCGGTCCAGTCTAGGGGCTAACTACTACTCACTAATATAATAATATAATAACCAACTGTCTACGAAAGGAAAGCATGCATGACACAGGTGTGGCCTAATGGACAGGAAGAGGCTTGCAAGTAATTATCCCAGTTCAAAACTGCACTTATCTACTTCAATGCAATTATTATTATTATTAAAAATAATACAAAGGTTACAAATAAAGCTACACAGATAAAAACAAATATATATATTCTGATTATCCACATTACTGACAAAGAAAATACGTCAGATGAATACAATGTATGATGAAAATAGCAGTTTTTTCTTGAATCTTCTACAGAAGCATTAAATATTTTAAGAATTTAATTTTGATACTTTGCATTTCAAAATACACACCCTCTAGAATGAAACAAACCAACCATGAACACTTTTACTTATTGAGGATTTGAGAATCAGGCTTCTAATGTTTGATATTATTGTAGGTACTGAGAATGTATCAACATGCAAGTTGAGCCTGTTGAATAGGGATTTCTGTAGGGTGGGCTTTGTCCCCATTACTGTTTAGCCTGGTGGTGAATGGGCTCTTTGCATGGCTCAATGAAGGGGGTTTGTACATACTTGGCCTTGATGATAACAGGAATTTGCACATATTGCCAGAGTTCATGTAAGGGATCTGAACACAGCGAAAAGCTGGTACAGGACCAAAGACCTACATGTAAATCCTCACAAGAGAGAACTTTTGCTCTTCACAAAGAGGAAAAAGGAGATGAGTTCATAGTACTTGTACTAGATAGGATGATATGTCCCACTGTCAGTGAAGTATCCTGACTTGGAGGGAGCATATGAAACAAAGGATGAGTACAGCTTGGTCTTACATCTGGTAGTGTTGTCAGATCCTTGGTAATATGCATAAAAAGGTTACAAGGGCCATATGTGGCCTGTGGGGCCATATGTTGCATATCCTCGGTCTAAAGGACTAGTCTGAAATATGGAAGGGTCCAGGTTGGTTGGTGGGCGGGCGGGCATGGACATCACAGTGTTCCAGTAAGATTTTTTTATTTTAGCCTGTTCAAAGGAACGTATAGGAAGGGCCCATACAGGCCACTGTTATATATATATATATATATATACGTGTTCAGCCAGCAGCTCTGTGGGATTCAGGGTAACAAGGTAGCATGACTTGGCTAGGGAGGGATCACACTCTTCATTCCTTGGTTCCAAGCCACCTTGTGTGACATCAGAAATGAAATGAGGAAGAAAACAAGGAAACAGGATTTGTTTATAAAATGACAAGAACTCCACCATAGGGCCTATGAAACAGAAGTGCCTATAGCCTAAAAGGACCTTAACTCAGCCCAGACATACACCAACAATGACATAGTCCAATGACAGTTATATCCCAAGGGAAAAAAAAGAGACAACATTTACTGGATTAACCAATTAAAACATTCACTGCCAGAAATATGAATCCCCATTTCACCTTGTAGGTTACATAGCCATGGCTACAAATACACACTAGAAATATAAAATAATCACTTCTATTAAATATTGAAACATCATGCACATTTCAGTAATTCAAAGCCTGAAATATAATCTATGATGTTTTTTATAACATCTGAGTAACATCTACAGGGAAACAAATTGAATATTTTTACTAGCTATGATTTTATAAATTTTCACTGGTGCTAGAGCACACTCAGTTGATCAGCAGCTTCCATGGCTGACAGTAAATGTATTAATTTATTCTCTCACTGAGTTGTTAAATCACAAAGTACTGTTAAACTGATCAATAAATGCAAATAGCAACATTTCCATCAAGGAAATTACAATGAATTCTGGTTATGGATCCCACACTCAAAACCTCTGCATAAAGGCTATCTGTAACAACATGTACTTATTACAAATACCTGTCAAAATAAAACAAATGAGAATAGTACAATGAAGTATGACTAGCCTATATATTGACAGCTTATTACTTGATGAAACGAAGAAAAATGCAATAGAATAATTCATCAGATGAGATCTTCAAGCGGCACGGACAGACTGAAAAATGGAACATTATCATTAGTGGCATAACTTTACTGTAAAACCACATTTACCACAGACCAGGAGAAAAGCCCTGTAGGGGGAAGTCGTTCCTGGGGCGGTGCAGGGGGAATGTTTACTATCAAGTGGACTAGAGGGCTGGGGAAGTGTGATATGTCAGTATTTTACACTATTACACACAGAATGAAAACATCAAGCAGTTAAGAGTAGCGTGTAGTGGGTGCACCTCTAGGGTGTTGTGATAATATTCTAGTTTAAATCACTGTGCCACTGTGAGGTAATCTTGAAGCTATACCCATTAGAACACATGAAAGCCTGTCGTCTGTTATTCGTTCAGTGGTTGTGGAACGCATGCTTTTAGGATGGGTCGTCACTCACTGTGAAATCTTGCGCATGCGCGTATAACGAATTCCTAGCAGGGCTTTTCTCCTGGTCTGTGGACTGTATTAATACAACTCAAATATTCATCTCTCTACATTCCTTCACCTTAAAAATATTATTAGGACAATAAAATCAAAGAGGATGAACTAGATAGGACATGTAGCATATATGGAGGAAATGAGAAAAGCATACATATTTTGGCTCGAAAAACTGAGAAGACACAGTAAACAATAAGATAACAAAAAATGGATCTAAAGAAAATGACGTGGGAAGGCGTGGACTGGATTCAATTGACTCAACTAGGGAATAATTTTGTGAACATAGTAATAAACCTTTGGGTTCTGTAAAAGTAGGGGAATTTCTTGACTAGCTCAGGAAACAACGAAGAAGGACTATGCCTCATGGAATTAGTAAATTCATATTTTCTATACTTCATGATAATCTACTTGGATCATGTCCTATTACCTTTATGATGTCAACGCCTGTAAGGTTCTTGACCACTTCTGGTACTCTACTGACAATGCTCAGAACTTCTCCAGTTAATTTGGCTGCACCAATTTCTCCTTGTCCACTGGATACCATTGTAATCTTCTTGGCTTGGGAGAGAGGGGCTGCAACCTCAGCAGCCACCTGAAATATGCAACCAACACTTGATGTACAATGCACTTTCTCCACTGACTTACTTTGTGGTATTTATCCAAACATTCAAAATGTTAATGAATAATCTGATACTAACATCAAAACCTAAATATAAAACATTCATACAACCAATTTCTGTAATATTAATTTCATACTGATTATAACATCATCATACTATTATTATTTATTATCTCCACATCAATCTTGGACACAAAACTTTCAAACAAATAGAGAAGTGATGCAGAATAAGCAATGGAAGAGATCGTGACAACGAAGAGTGTAAAAGCTGGAGTTACAAAGCAAGAGATAATTTCAAATATAAAATAATTTGCTTTTATATATATATATATATATATATACACACACACACACACACACACACACATGCACTGGCAAAGTCTGACAATTTTAGCCACTCCTGAACTGAGCTGTACCTTTGGCAAAGTATCGAGAAGCATGTCGACCATGGCAGCTTCCTTGTAGTCCTTCCAGGCATCTGCTTTCTTAGCCATTTGCTCTGCCTCTGCTCGAGCCTTTGCCTCGATGGCAAATGCTTCTGCTTCTCCACGCACTCGTACTGATTCTGCTTCTGCCTCAGCTTCTAGGATTACTCTATTCCTATTAGCTTCTGCCAACTTCTCCAGTCTGAAGAAAGATGTAAACACCAAGGTTTTGCAAAGGGGCAAATTAAAGGTTTTTAAAATTTGATGTTCTGAGTAACTCCTGCATTGCTTCATGACTCACCATTTAATTTAGGCAAATTATGAATTTCAATAGTAAATGTTTAAATACACTTCTCTTTGCAAATAACCAAGTAATAATGTCATATTGTGAAGATAAATTCTATGAGTGTCTATAAATAAAAAAATTAATAAACACATATAGGATAGCAATTTAAAAATAAAGATTAAAAACAATGGCATTCTGAGGATGAGAACCCACAATAAGTAAAAGTTATAAACAACAAAATAATAGAATTCAATACTTCAAATTTCCTTGAATGTTCTGTCATATGAAGAAGAAAACATAAAAGCTAAAATTTCCAACTCTTTTAAAAAATTACAGGCCACTGTCAAACCATCAAAAGTCCAGAACCACACTATAACAATAATTCATAACAACCTGGTAGTGAAAAGTTAAATACACATGGATGAACCATAAATGAATCTAATACACAGGACTAAACACCAAACCTATACTGGATAAATCTGTTTTATGTAAAACCAATCAGATTCAACAAGTTGACAGAATGCAATAAAACAGATTTTTCCAAAGTATTATAAAATTGAGCATGACCTTTAAAGAGACTTTTGGATGAAGATTTCTGTCTTCTGGGTTGTTGCGCTGTGTAGCCTGGTAGATGTTTACAAACGTTTCAGAGGTCATACTGCCTCCGTCATCAGGGCAATTTATCGTCCTGATGACGGAGGCAGTATGACCTCTGAAACGTTTGTAAACATCTACCAGGCTACACAGCGCAACAACCCAGAAGACAGAAATCTTCATCCAAAAGTCTCTTTAAAGGTCATGCTCAATTTTATAATACTTTGGAAAAATCTGTTTTATTGCATTCTGTCAACTTGTTGAATCTGATTGGTTTTACATAAAACAGATTTATCCAGTATAGGTTTGGTGTTTAGTCCTGTGTATTAGATTCATTTATGGTTCATCCATGTGTATTTAACTTTTCACTACCAGGTTGTTATGAATTATTGTTATAGTGTGGTTCTGGACTTTTGATGGTTTGACAGTGGCCTGTAATTTTTTAAAAGAGTTGGAAATTTTAGCTTTTATGTTTTCTTCTTCATATGACAGAACATTCAAGGAAATTTGAAGTATTGAATTCTATTATTTTGTTGTTTATAACTTTTACTTATTGTGGGTTCTCATCCTCAGAATGCCATTGTTTTTAATCTTTATTTTTAAATTGCTATCCTATATGTGTTTATTAATTTTTTTATTTATAGACACTCATAGAATTTATCTTCACAATATGACATTATTACTTGGTTATTTGCAAAGAGAAGTGTATTTAAACATTTACTATTGAAATTCATAATTTGCCTAAATTAAATGGTGAGTCATGAAGCAATGCAGGAGTTACTCAGAACATCAAATTTTAAAAACCTTTAATTTGCCCCTTTGCAAAACCTTGGTGTTTACATCTTTCTTCAGACTGGAGAAGTTGGCAGAAGCTAATAGGAATAGAGTAATCCTAGAAGCTGAGGCAGAAGCAGAATCAGTACGAGTGCGTGGAGAAGCAGAAGCATTTGCCATCGAGGCAAAGGCTCGAGCAGAGGCAGAGCAAATGGCTAAGAAAGCAGATGCCTGGAAGGACTACAAGGAAGCTGCCATGGTCGACATGCTTCTCGATACTTTGCCAAAGGTACAGCTCAGTTCAGGAGTGGCTAAAATTGTCAGACTTTGCCAGTGCATGTGTGTGTGTGTGTGTGTGTGTGTGTATATATATATATATATATATATAAAAGCAAATTATTTTATATTTGAAATTATCTCTTGCTTTGTAACTCCAGCTTTTACACTCTTCGTTGTCACGATCTCTTCCATTGCTTATTCTGCATCACTTCTCTATTTGTTTGAAAGTTTTGTGTCCAAGATTGATGTGGAGATAATAAATAATAATAGTATGATGATGTTATAATCAGTATGAAATTAATATTACAGAAATTGGTTGTATGAATGTTTTATATTTAGGTTTTGATGTTAGTATCAGATTATTCATTAACATTTTGAATGTTTGGATAAATACCACAAAGTAAGTCAGTGGAGAAAGTGCATTGTACATCAAGTGTTGGTTGCATATTTCAGGTGGCTGCTGAGGTTGCAGCCCCTCTCTCCCAAGCCAAGAAGATTACAATGGTATCCAGTGGACAAGGAGAAATTGGTGCAGCCAAATTAACTGGAGAAGTTCTGAGCATTGTCAGTAGAGTACCAGAAGTGGTCAAGAACCTTACAGGCGTTGACATCATAAAGGTAATAGGACATGATCCAAGTAGATTATCATGAAGTATAGAAAATATGAATTTACTAATTCCATGAGGCATAGTCCTTCTTCGTTGTTTCCTGAGCTAGTCAAGAAATTCCCCTACTTTTACAGAACCCAAAGGTTTATTACTATGTTCACAAAATTATTCCCTAGTTGAGTCAATTGAATCCAGTCCACGCCTTCCCACGTCATTTTCTTTAGATCCATTTTTTGTTATCTTATTGTTTACTGTGTCTTCTCAGTTTTTCGAGCCAAAATATGTATGCTTTTCTCATTTCCTCCATATATGCTACATGTCCTATCTAGTTCATCCTCTTTGATTTTATTGTCCTAATAATATTTTTAAGGTGAAGGAATGTAGAGAGATGAATATTTGAGTTGTATTAATACAGTCCACAGACCAGGAGAAAAGCCCTGCTAGGAATTCGTTATACGCGCATGCGCAAGATTTCACAGTGAGTGACGACCCATCCTAAAAGCATGCGTTCCACAACCACTGAACGAATAACAGACGACAGGCTTTCATGTGTTCTAATGGGTATAGCTTCAAGATTACCTCACAGTGGCACAGTGATTTAAACTAGAATATTATCACAACACCCTAGAGGTGCACCCACTACACGCTACTCTTAACTGCTTGATGTTTTCATTCTGTGTGTAATAGTGTAAAATACTGACATATCACACTTCCCCAGCCCTCTAGTCCACTTGATAGTAAACATTCCCCCTGCACCGCCCCAGGAACGACTTCCCCCTACAGGGCTTTTCTCCTGGTCTGTGGTAAATGTGGTTTTACAGTAAAGTTATGCCACTAATGATAATGTTCCATTTTTCAGTCTGTCCGTGCCGCTTGAAGATCTCATCTGATGAATTATTCTATTGCATTTTTCTTCGTTTCATCAAGTAATAAGCTGTCAATATATAGGCTAGTCATACTTCATTGTACTATTCTCATTTGTTTTATTTTGACAGGTATTTGTAATAAGTACATGTTGTTACAGATAGCCTTTATGCAGAGGTTTTGAGTGTGGGATCCATAACCAGAATTCATTGTAATTTCCTTGATGGAAATGTTGCTATTTGCATTTATTGATCAGTTTAACAGTACTTTGTGATTTAACAACTCAGTGAGAGAATAAATTAATACATTTACTGTCAGCCATGGAAGCTGCTGATCAACTGAGTGTGCTCTAGCACCAGTGAAAATTTATAAAATCATAGCTAGTAAAAATATTCAATTTGTTTCCCTGTAGATGTTACTCAGATGTTATAAAAAACATCATAGATTATATTTCAGGCTTTGAATTACTGAAATGTGCATGATGTTTCAATATTTAATAGAAGTGATTATTTTATATTTCTAGTGTGTATTTGTAGCCATGGCTATGTAACCTACAAGGTGAAATGGGGATTCATATTTCTGGCAGTGAATGTTTTAATTGGTTAATCCAGTAAATGTTGTCTCTTTTTTTTCCCTTGGGATATAACTGTCATTGGACTATGTCATTGTTGGTGTATGTCTGGGCTGAGTTAAGGTCCTTTTAGGCTATAGGCACTTCTGTTTCATAGGCCCTATGGTGGAGTTCTTGTCATTTTTTTGGATGAGGATGAAACAGACTACTAGTTGCTCTACTTCTTGATTGCTAAATGATGGTGACCAGAAATCAGAACACAATAAAGGACAACAAAGAAAGGTGCCATAGTCACTCCCTACAAAACTTCATTACAATCATACTTGTATTTTTCTGCCTCTGCAGGTCGCCTAACTGTAGCTTCCAACTCTCTCTCTTTGCGCTGCATTTCCTGATCCTGCACAGCAATCTCCTGACTTCGTTCTACAACTAAGATCTGCATCTGCTCTTCCTTAATGCGTTGCTTTGTCTTGGCAGCTTGGAGTTCATACGCCAACTCAGCCTCGGCTTTCTGAAACGCATTTGGACTCAACCGAAAATTCATCAGAAGAAAGTTGTTGCAACCAAGTTGCATCTCAAAAATTATAATAATAATTAATTCAAATTAGCATAAGTAAAGGCACTTAACTCGTTTTTTTTTAGTTTTTATCCTCTTTTACCTGCAGGTGTCGAGGTATACATTCATTCATTGAATCCTATTAGACATTCGGTAAGACTCCTTGGACGAGTGATCAGCCTGTCGCAAGGCCCCTACCTACACAGGACAGCACAATACAGAAAGATGCAGACAAACATCCATCTCTTTAAGTGGGATTCGAACCCATTGTCCCAGTGCCAAAGGGCATGAGGTCTATGCCTCAGACCGTGTGGCCAATGCGGCCGGCTTAACTCTAGTAATGAAGGTTTATGTTAAACATTGCAGCTTGTGCAAGGAAAATTTATAATTCCACCAGCAATCTATCATACTTCCTTCAGTCAGCTGTCCTTCCCTGCTCATTACAAACTGTTATAATTTTATAAACACCCACATTTCACTAAGATCCTTTTATATTGCCAAAATAGTCTCCACTGATAACTATAACAGCCCTCTGTTAATTGTCATAAACTACAAGCTCAAAATATTAAACTCTGCACCACACTAGAAGTTTCTGAATGTGAATCTGAGTATGTTCAACTGTATTACATCCCCATATTCAAGTTAAAAAGCCTACCTTTGTCTGCACTTCCACATCATATGCTGCTTTCTTCAGTTCAAAGTCTCTTTGTGCTTTGGCAATTTCTGTGTCATTCAAAAACCTGACAAAAAGAAGTAAAATCAAATTTAGTGAATAAAAATATAGGCTCGTTTATCTCCTTAACATGACAACAAAAGTTTCACACACATAAAAGATTAAAGCTTTGTACACTTTACTCTTTACATTTTTAGGCAGCAGATGAGATAGTTCTAAACAGCAAACAATTTGTGAATTTATTTCACTCTTGTTTTGCTTGTGAACTGTATTCCAAAATATTTGAACTATGACACATTTTCATATCTGTAGCTCCATAACTGTTTAGAATCAGACTTAAAAACTTTTCCGACTGAAAATGGTATGCTGTACTTAGATTCTTTTCTGTGTTTACTTCTACACCAGTTTCCTTATTACCATTTAATAACACAACTTCTGTGTTTTCTTTATGATATTTGTAATTTTTCCCTATGAATTGACATCATCAGTATAGACCAATCTCCCGTGTGCTTAGATCTTCCTGATGGTATATTCTAAACATTTCAGACCATTCTGAATAAGAAATACATCAGACAAATGTTTATCTACATGAACTTTAATACAGGTTTCATTTAAACGTATTGTAATTTTCATGATCAGCTCATGGGTACACTAAGTTTAATAAAAATGTTGTATCAAACATTCCTCCTAATTGTATCATATGCTTTATTGAAGTTCAGAAATAGCTTGTATACTGTTCCACTGTCCTCCCATTTTTTCTCCAGTATCTGATGAATAAACATGATATGATTTTGTCAAAATCCACATTGATAATACCCAATAATTCTGTCTACACCTGCAGTTAACCTCAAAAGAAAAATGCAAGATAAAAATTTGTATGCACCCAATAAGTGATATTTCCTGATTATTTGTGTAGTCCATTTTATCACACTTCATATGAATAAGGTATAACAACAGATTCCTTCCATTATACAAATCTCAAATATTTTTGTTCTTACTGCTTGTTTCAAGATCATTAACTTGGTCTTTCAGATATTCCCTTCTTTTGGTCATGAAAATTCTCCTAGTTTCATATCTTGTGTTGTCCACATTATCTCCATTCATCTGCCCTGAATTCTGAAACCACTACAATTTTAGTTTGCTTCCTTCTAGCTGATAATTTTTAGCATTCTTTGCCAAACAATGGTTTATGCTGCTTTAGCTTTTAATGACATAAACTCACTCTTGCTGAAATTGTAGTAGTCTCTAACATTTCCCCAAGTCTTACTGATGTTCACATTATCATCACCATCCAAGTTTCCAAAGAATCCAACTCCTAACATACCAAGTTTCAAATTTTGCAACTTCACGGAAACCACTTGTCAGTCATTCACAACTGTTTGTTTAATACATTTACAGCTACCATCCACATCTGGAGGCTGTCTCCTCTATCCACAACACGGACGTGCCTTGCTGTGGTGAAAAGAGACCCATTTAATGCAGTCTAAATAATACATGCTATAAAAATTACTTTCACCCAAATTCAGAAATAATCTAACAAAACTACAAATTCTTCAAAGTGTTATGTCCTTCAATTCTTTAAGTATGTAGTATTAATGTTTGTATGACTGAAAATCAAATGTCTTTCTTTCTGCTAATTCTTCCTGATTTTTTCCTCAAGATTAAAAATTCCAGGAATTTACAGCTCTATGTCATTATAATAAGAAGAAAGCATAGTCATTTTTGATGTGCCTTCAAGATATCCATGTGTTTGTCCTCAATCTACCTTGAAGCCATGCGCTCTTCCTCAGCAATTGCCTCTTTAATCTGGGCATCACGCCTTGCTTCAGCTTCTCCAATGCGAGCATCACGTTTCACCTCTGCAGTTCTTGCCATTCCCAAACTTTTTAAGTAACCCTACCAAAAAACAAATAATTTAATTTTTTCATGTATTTAATTCTAAGTAACATTACAATGTTAGCATTTTTATGTAAAGAAGCCCAAAGGCAATAAAAAATGACAAAAGGGACTGGGAAAGAAGAGGCAACATTATAACACACATCTGCCACATTTATTTCATACATGCAATCTGGTTATGTAACCACTAGTTTATATAGAGCAATACTATTTAATTCTAATAGCACTCTCATTTGCCAGGCTATAGAATGCATGCAATGTGCACAAATTTAAAAAATACAAAAGCAGACTCTGAAAGCAGCTAGAAGGAAACAACTACCAATACACTAGATATGAGGCACCCAGACAACAGCCCATAAATGTGAGTGAATGTTAATAAACCATACCTTATATTAGGCATATGCTTCAGATTCATTTATTACATAAACTGCCAGACATTCAAACACAAGACGTAACTAAATGTTGGGGCTCACAGCCCATGGGCAGGGTTTTGCACTACCTGACAATACTGCCAATTTATGAATAACAAATTATTTTGTCCTAATTTTAGCACACTTCAGGATGTGATATCATGTAGTACCATGCCTTCAGGATGCAAAAGAATTCAATACAGAACCTAAAAATATTCAATTCCCAACTGATAATCATGAAAAGGTGTCTTTAGATGTTTATTAATAATTCTTTCTACTATGGAAATTCTTATCCAGATGCATTCTGTCACAATGATATTTTATGTGATGATAAAAAAGCATGCTGGTACTCCTGCAAATATTTATCTTTGCTGATAGAGGATTAACAAAACCAGTAGACATTTCCAGGTCATGTAACACTTTTCATATTTAACTGTACCATTATCATATTTGCTTCATTTATTAATGAAAAAACAGGTCAATAGCATGGGTTTAATCAATTTTCAATCACTCTGTATATAAAAGAAATGGTCATTCTATTTAGCCATACAGTAATAGGAAGAAAGAAATCCTTTGAAGTTGAAGTTTATCTAAGTAACATAATTCAGTCTGTAGCTCAAAGAAAACATTAAATGTCTCCATTACAAAAATAAATCAAACAGTTAACATTTTTTAGGAAAGAGTCATATTTCCCAACAAAATTCAGAGTTCTTGATTATTAAAACTGGTGGTACATATAGTTACCCCTGGACTTAAAAGGGTTAATAGAGATGAAGTTCTGGAGAAAAGTCATACTTCTTGAAGCAAACAAAACCTAGGCAGAAATGTGTTACCATATATACCTGTGCACCTCATACATACACACACACCAAATAGGAAATCTGCTAATAAGCAGCTATATCACTATTATGCATGCCACATTCCAGACTGTAGATTCGACACATACCTTCGCCCCCTTGAAGCATAACAAAGAGCCAATAAATTACACATGACAAATTAATCATTAAACAGCCTACAGTCACTTCCAAATGCACTTAACAATATTCGGTAACAGAGGAGCACAAAGTGAGGAGTTGAGAAGTACTCATTTGTGAAAGTATTTAATCATCTCCATCTACCGATTACAAATGCTGTATTTATTTTTATTAAAGTCCTGAATTTTGTTTTTCTCTTGTTTCTCAGTCAGGACAGCTTGTCCCACTGCACAGATTGGTACCTACCAAACACAAGTCTGACCCACTATCAAATTACCCCTCACCTGTCTTCCTAATATGTGATTATAATGGAGACCATTTGGTGGTAATATCTTAACCACATCACGAGAATACAAAATGATGAACATCTGCGCACATAAAACTTGATTTCCTACTGGAACTACACAAAAATCTTGCAATTTTCTCTAGCACCACACAAAATGTAAATGAGATGTATTAATCCCATGGCAGTGGCAATGTGAACTGTGGAATTCTAGATTGTGTAGTCCTGTAGATGATTGCCAACATTTTGGAAGAACATTGCTAACACCACCTACAAAATGACATGGCATCACTATCCGGAAGGCCAAGGTACACACACAAAGTACTCTAACAATTTAAAGAAAATATCCTTTTCAGTATTCTGGTTTATATTTTCCTGAATAAATTTTGAAAATCAGGGAGAATGAGAAATATATTCGCCATAACACATAACTGTACTTACATGGCATAACTCCTTTAATCCCTAAAGAGTATAAATTTCTGCTGCAAGTTT